CAGTTAAATTAATGGTGAGTTAATCTAATATTAAAGCAATGTTATTGTAAAGGATGATAATTAAACTATGTTAAACGAAATAACGGTAAGCAAAAGAAAGCAGGTAAAAACATACCATGAGTGATAATGAAAGGATGATCACGTGCCTGAGAATAATTGACTGCTGCTTACAAAAGGTTTGCTGCTTACACGAGCATCGCTTTTTGTCTAGTCTATTTCAAAGAGAACCAATCGCACCAGTTGAGCTTCCTCTACACACGGTTGTAAACGGGATCCAGAGGAGAGATGTTGGATTCCAGCTTTGGATATTCTGCTCTCTCATTGATCAGTCTCATCAGGTCTATAGGGAGTCTTAGGGTGCTTTCACACCTACACTTTTGTTTCGGAATCTGTCTCATTTGCCCAGTTAGCGCGGTTTGTTTGGCATATGTGAAACCACCAATCGCTCTCGGATCAACACCAAATCTATCGCTCTGTGATCGCTTGAATGAGGTGGTCTCGGCTCAATTGAAACGAACTCTGGAGCGGATCGATAGCAGTGAGAAAGCAGTCCGATCCGAGCGCGGTTATATCACTATTTTATGTATGTGTAATAGGCAAACGGCTATATGAAGAGAGAATTATGATTAGGGCGGAAAGTTTCTCGAGTCTCCGGATTCCCGCAAACGAGTGATAATCTCTCGGTAAGCTCGCTTCTCCCTTCCGATCCTCAAATAGGCTATGTTGCGCACCCTTCTCACCCCTCCCCACCGCATCTCTCCTCACTCTTCAGACACGTCGTGCACACCTTGTCAAACACCACCAAACCACCACCTCTCCTGACAGCTGAGCGGGACACTGCAAAATAAACCCTGACACTAACCAATGTGAGTAGAGTTTACTCACACGTGACTTGTTTTATGGCCCGTTTCCACTGAGTGGTACGGTTCGGTTTGGTTTGGTACGCTTTTATGGCTGTTTCTACTGTCAAAAGCGTACCGAACCAAATCGTACCATACCACTTTTTTGGCACACTTTCGATAGGGTGCCAAACAGGAGAAAGAGTACCAAAAGGTGGAGCTACACATGCAGCTGTACGCTAGTTGGTTATGGAGATACGTCACAAGCTTGTGGAGCAACACTGAATGTAAACAAAGGAACCGCCATGTTTTTTAAATACAAAGCCGAGGCATTACATGGAAATTTTATATGCATATAATAGCCAGCCATGGATGATCCGAGCTCAAACAAACCTTGACGTCGTCTCGGTGAACAGACACAAAACCAAGAAGAAAAATCTGCCGTTTTCTGTAATTAATAATAATATAGCGGAGACTGTAAGGGGCTGTATGTGTTCATATATGTTGCATTTATGTATTTGTTTTTATATAATTACAGACGTTACAGTAGCCTATTTCACACTGTCATTGATCTGCAGTTATAATCAACACCTGTTCATAGAAAAGTTAGTAATAAACATTTATACACAAGTATTTACGACCCGTACAGCTTTACTGTAGACATTAATTCGAGCGAGCATGACGTCGACTTAAACTTTGTCATACACCACGCCCACCAAAAGGGTACCCTTTATGGTGGAAACGCAAGCCTGCTGAAGGTGACCCGTACCGACCCGAACCGTACTGTACCAGTCAGTGGAAACGAGCCATTAGCTCTTTTGGTCCGATTAGAAACTTTACAGTGTGAACTGTTTCGAAACAACTGAATCGATTCACAGGTGTGAAAGCACTCTTAAGGAAATGCCAGGGGGAGTTCTTGAGGAAGGCAGTACTGTCATTGTACTTCTCGCTTTTGCTCTCTCCTCCTGTTCTGGGTTACAGATTATCTCTTGTCATCTGCTTTTATTTGCAGTCACAGGAGCTCTTGTTTCCCTTTTTTCCTGTTTATACCACATCATTTCCCTTCATGTTTGTCAGTATGTTATCGATTGTTTGTGTACATATTATTTTGTTACACACCCTGTATTTGTGTCCAGGACCGCTAGTAAGTGTCTGGTTGTTTTTTCCCACGACACTTTCTTAGCACTCACACGACCGGGTGTTTACTTTGACTTTTGCTTTTTCCAGGACTCATTCCTCAATAAAGAGTTGTTGTTTTTCTGCATTTGAGTTCACTCTTTTTTTTATTTTTTTACTCGTGACACAGGTATTTTCTTTCTTAATTGTGTTTAAAGATCTTTAGATTTTGACATGATGTCTAGCTTTTGAGGCTCTTTTGGTCTACTTCACTTTGTCAGACAGGTCATATTAAAGCCTGATTTATACTTCTGCGTCAAGTGACCGGCGTAACCCACGGCGCATGCAACGCGCGTGGCTGTGCATTTATACTTTTGCGCGCTGTCTCTGTTGGTCTGCATTAACACTTCCGAAACGCTAGTTGGCATTGAGGTGTAAATGTTCCTATGTGTCGAGTTTCTTCGCTGCTTTTGTGCTTTTCCTGAACACTTCCGGGATGTACAAGTGGCTCAAACTCGCTCATTTTGAGGCAGGAACCGGCGGACTTGCAACAACTTTAACTATGAGGTTAACACAAAACAAAACTTTCCATCCGGAGCTCCTTCACGGGACGCTTGTAAACAATCGCTCGCGCCATTCGCGTGGCTCTCGGTCCCACCCAGACTCGTCAGCGCTACCAAGCCGACCAATCACAAAGCTTGCGCTACGCGTTGTTGCGACGTGTAGTTACATTTTTTGAGAGGTGCACGTCAGTGACGCCGACGGCCACGGCGAAGGGCTATGCGTCAGCGCCGTAGCATACGCCAGTGTTTAACACAGAAAATAAAAAATAAAGTTATGTTTTCATGGGGAAAATGTTTGTTTGGCATAAATTCAGCAGTTGCGCTCGCATCAGCGCCAAATCAATCAGTCTGAGATCGCCTGAATGAGACTGTCTCTGTGCTACTGAGCGGATCCATTGAAGTGAGAAAACAAAACAATGCAACGAACTAATGACCCAGGCTATATCACAGTGTATTATGATCGTGTAATAGCCATATATACGGCTATATGAAGAGAGAATGATGAGCAGGGCGAGATGTCATTCTTACCAGTAAATGCGAAAGTGAAAGCATGCTGAAATATTACCGAGAGCTGTTTATCCAGCCTGATCTCGGTTTATCCGTCAGGAAAATTGACCGAAATTACTATCTGTTAATTTTTCCATATTTTAATCGTATAATATGTTGTATTAGGCCTGTTGTTTTGTTCATTTACGCACTGACAGCTCGAAAGAAAGATTTACATTGATCTGATGCAGTCTCGGTTCATCTGCTATGTCTCTCTATAATTTAAGCCTATAATGCAGAATTCTAGCCAACGTTTCTTTAATAGATTGATTAATTCAATAGATCGATTTTTACAAAACCTGACAATTGAAAAGAGGCTTTGTATATATGAGAAAGTCTGACCTCTGCTTTATATTCGGTGACGATGTCTGTGGGTTGTTAAAATTAAAGTGCATATTTTTGCTTCTAAAATATTCTATACACAACTGGTGTAAAGTTTGGGGTCAGTATGATTGTTAAAAATGTTAAACTAAGCTTCTTCTGCTCACCAAGGCTGCAATTATTTAATCATAAATACAAATCATGAAATTCAAAAGTAAAGTTTATCAAAAGTTCAAAAGTAGTTTATCATTTAATTTATTCATTTATTCCAGTGATTTTAAAGATGAAATTTCAGCTTCATTACTCCAGTCACATGATCCTTCAGAAATCACTAATATTAATTATTATTACATTTATTAATGGTAATAGTAATAAAAGCAATAATTTCTGGAGTAATAGTTTTATTTGAAACTACATACAATAATAAAGCAGTTATTTAAAATTTTGATAAATATTTAACAATTTAACATTTTTTACATTTAATAAATGTAGCCTTGATGAACTTAAGTTTTCTTAAAAACATAAAAAAAATTACTGTAAATATATATACAGTGGAAGTCAGAATTATTAGCCCCCTTTGTTGTTTTTTTCTTTTTAAAATATTTCCTAAATTATATTTAACAGAACAAGGAAATGTTGATAGTATGTCTGATAATATTTTTTCCTCTGAACAAAGTTTTATTTGTTTTATTTTGGCTAGAATAAAAGCAGTTCTTAATTTTTTATGAACCATTTTAAGGTCAAATTTATTAGCCCCTTAAGCTAATTGTTTTTCAGACTGTCTCCAGAACAAACCATCGTTATACAATAACTTGTCTAATTATCCTAGCCTGCCTGGTTAACCTAATTAACCTAGTTAAGACTGCTTCAATCTTTTACTTTCACACTAGTACTTAGTCATTTTAGCAAACACCTCAGATACTGTTGGATGGTTCCTGTTGGTGGTGCACCTTTTTTACAGACGCCATAATAACGACACAGATCACTGCCTATTCACAAGAAAAAAGTGATTGACGTGGTAATTATGTGTGTAACTTGCCTTTATTCATTTACTGTATGATTTGTTTATGGGTAAAACAAAGACCATTCAGGTCAGGTAGTTTAAAGGGTAGGCTACAAATAATTAATTTGTTATTAATTTTTAATTATTCATAATCGAATCGAATCGTGACTTAAGAATCGAAAATGTAATCGAATCGAGGATTTGGAGAATCGTGACACCCCTACTCATCAATATGACCAAAATGATCTGGGATCAATTACATAAGAATCCACTAAAATGTGTATGTGTGTAATGGATACCAGGAGGTTGATATGACAAGATCAATCTAAATATGAATAAATATTAATATTCTTAATAAATAAATATTTTTATAATAAATATATTAATAATACATTTAATGTGCATCAAAATTAGGTTTGTGTAGCCAATGTTTTATTGTCTTTTCACTTCAGCTTTTGATTTGATGAGAGTTTTAATGATTTACTAAAAACTGAACTTTTTTTTTTATTTCAGACCTAATTAAAGACTATAAGGGGAGTAAAGAGGAGGAACATCAAGTTAAAATTGAGGACAAAACTTATTTAGAGACTGATGGTATTATAAAAGTGAGAGACAAGAGTTGTTTTACCTGCACTCAGTGTGGAAAGAGTTTGGCAAGCAAAAGCAAACTGAACATTCACATGATGAACCACACTGGAGAGAAACCATTCACATGCACTCAGTGTGGGAAGAGTTTCAGCCAATCATCATACCTTAATCAACACATGAGGATTCACACTGGGGAGAAACCATTCATATGCACTCAGTGTGGAAAGAGTTTCAGCCACTCATCATCCCTTAATCAACACATGAGAATCCACACGGGAGAGAAACCATTCTCATGCACTCAGTGTGGGAAGAGTTTTAGCCAATCATCATCCCTTAATCTACACATGAGGATCCACACTGGAAAGAAACCATTCAAATGCACACTGTGTGGGAAGAGTTTCAGCCAATCATCATCCCTTAATCAACACATGATGATCCACACTGGAGAGAAACCATTTACATGCACTCAGTGTGGGAAGAGTTTCAGCCAATCATCATCCCTTAATCTACACATGAGGATCCACACTGGAGATAAGCCTTTCACATGCACCCAGTGTAGGAAGAGTTTCAGCAACTCATCATCACTTTACAGACACATGAGGATCCACACTGGAGAGAAACCATTCACTTGCACTCAGTGTGGGAAGAGTTTCATCCAATCATCATCCTTTAATCTACACATGAGGATCCACACTGGAGAGAAACCATTCACATGCCCTAAGTGTGGGAAGAGTTTCAGGAAATCATCGTCTCTTAATGAACACATGATGATCCACACAGGAGTGAAAGAGCATATGTGCTTGGAGTGTGAGAAGACGTTTATCACAGCTGCAAATTTGAAACGGCACCAGAGGATTCACACTGGAGAAAAAAACCTACAAGTGTTCACAGTGCAGTAAGAGGTTTACTCACTCAAGAACCCTGAAAACACATGAGAGAATTCACACTGGAGGTAAACCGTAGACATGATCAGTGTGTACACAATGTGTACAGTTTCACTCATCCGGGGCAGCTTAAGAAACACATGGGATGGTTCCGGTATGGCGTTGACACATGTAGCAGAATAGAAAGAGAGCTCCCATACACACTGGTATTAATCCTTTTTTTTACATCATATATGATAACCTAAACCATGTTTAAATAACACAGAGGGGGACAAAAACAACCATTGAAACCTGAAAAAAAAAAAAACGAGTAATCAACAGATGAAAAATCTGAGATGAACGGGATAGCTGATAGCCTGTCAGCTTGCATTGCAGCAATACATACGGACATCAAAGCTTTCCAGATGGATATTAAATTTGATTTAACCGCCTTCCAAGATTCCCTCGCAAAAGATGTGAAAATGGAACTAAATAACTTTAAACAAGAAGTCAATCAAAAACTGGATGGCCTGATCACGGGCCTAAACGCAACAGCAGAAAAGGTCAACAAAGTGGAGCAGTGAGTTGGAGAACTGGAGAACGTTGCTGAGATGAAAGAAATTTTTTAGTCAAACAATACAAATTTAAGAAAACTTACAAGAGAAACTGTTAGATCTAGAAACACGCTCCCGTAGAAATAATATTCGGATTTTTTGAAACCCGGAAGGAATCGAAGGGAATAATATCCAAGACTTGGTGGAAATTATTATTAAAACGAACTGTCACTTGACGAAATGGACCTTAAAATCCAACGATGTCAACGGAGGCATCAAGAGATCTGAAAGAAAAAGGACTAATAAATAGCGAAGAAGAAACTATTATAGGAATCTCTGGGAAAGAGAAACAAAGATCTTGGCAAAGTTTGGAGTGACATCGAAGAAAAGAATTTTAAATTTGAAATTGAATTTTAAAGGGACAATGTTTGAAAGAAGGGAAAACCTGACAGATCCTAACAAAGAACTCTGAGAGACTGGTAAAAGTTCTTGACTTGATTCACCGATGATGGACATTTAAATCGTTTGAAGGAAGAATGGTATTTAACCGAACTGACCAGCGACACAAGATGAACGATTAAAGCACACCAAGACTCGAGTCATTGAGGAACATACTGGTAGGAAGACATAAAGGGATTCTATTTTATACATTTAAAATCCCTTGCTATAATTAGAAATATTTAACTTTAAAACCTAGTCAGAAATACAAGAATATAATATTGTCAGATATGGGCACTGAATATATTTGTTAACATTTTTTGTGCAATAGGCACAGCAAGGAGGGGCCCTTTAGAGAAGGAAGGCTTTCCCATCACATTCAGAAGTTATTTAAGACTTTAAGGTTTGGAAACCTCTTTCATTATGATTTTTATTTAATTGTATTTTTTTTTTTCCTCCAACAGAATAGTGGTACTGGTATCTCGTAACGATATGTACAGCAGTTTTTGTTACATTCTGTCAAATGCATACAGATGCTTAAATAAATACAAAAATAAAAAGAGATTATAAAACAAATTTAGAAAGACATAGTTATTGAGTATTTTCAAGGAAAGTCCAGAAGGAGGACCAAATGAGCCAGCACACCTCAGATCTTTGATGTAGGTCATAAGTCTGATTGCCTGACTCAGCCACATATTGACTGAAGGTGTCTGCACAGTTGACCCCAATATCAATATACATTTTTTGGCCAAATATATACAAAAATTCAATACGCATTCTTTGTCATGATCAAGACACAGTTCCGAAGTACAATTCAGAAGGTTTACGTTTGGAGACAAAACAAAAGTCTTTCCAGTTATTTTTAAAATCATTTTGTGAATCTCTTTCCAGTACAATTTAATTTTGTCACAGTCCCAAAATACATGCATCACTGTGCCAATGTCTAACTTACTTTTGAAACATAGCTGGAAACAATTAGGAAATATTCTATGGAGGCGGACAGGAGTTAGATATATCCTGTGAATACATTTATAATTTTGCTCATGAACTGAAATTGAAGTACTTTTGGGATAGATATTTGAGCAGGCAGATAGCCACTCCTCATGACTAAAACTAGACCTCAGATCCTTTTCCCATATTGCCCTTAAAGAATTAAAGGTTGAAGGGTCCGTATTAGACAGCAACGTATATAATTCAGAGATCTTATTATTAAGCGTACATGAAGAGAAAAGCTGTTTTTCTATGTCAGTAAAATCAAATTGTATATTACCTTCTTTTAATTGTAACTCTAAAAAGTGTCGAATTTGCAGGAATTTATCAAAATTTTTACTGGGAAGACTAAATTCCTGTCTTAACTGCTCAAATGATTTCATTTGGCCATCCTGGAATAGGTGACCTTATTCTGACACTCCTCTTGATCTCCAAGTCAAAAGGCCAATATTCTGTATTGTAGTGGGAAAATCAAGATTAAAGGTAATAGGTGACTTAGAACACAAGTTATTTGGGATGGATAAATATTTCTTAACATCATGCCACACCAAAAGCGTATTTGTTATTGTAAAGACACTAATCAAATGTTGATTTTTTTGTATATTATGAATAAATGGTAGAGAGCATGAGAGTCTAGGAGAGCATCTTGTAGATTCAATCCCAACCCATCGTGAATCAAATCTGTAAATAAACCAATTTAACCTGTGCTTGATTTGTGCTGCCCAAAAGTATAATTGGAAATTGGGAAGTGAGAACCCACCCAATTCCTTTGGTTTCATCAACAGTGAGAATTTAAGCCTGGGTTTTTTGTAATTCCAAACGTACCTTGAGATTGAGATGGATTCAGAGGAAGCATGCATATACAAAGCTTGAGATTTATCCAAATTAATCTTGTACCCTGAAAAAGTACTATATTTTTTAATTACATTAAGAATTGCATCAGTAGAGGTGTCAGGGAGTTTAAGATACAACAAAACATCAACTGCATACAGAGATATACGATGTTCCTCTAGACCTATTTTAATACCGTGTATGCTACTATTAGTTCTCACGGCAATAGCCAGCGGTTCAATAACCAGAGAGAATAACAGAGGTGAAAGAGGGCAGCCTTGACGACAGCCTCTGCTTACGGAAAATCTATTAGACAGCATTCTATTAGTGTTAACCTGGGCTATAGGATTAGAGTATAGGCGTTTGATTAAATCAATCAAATTGGATCCTAACTGTATTTTATCTAAAACTGCAAAAAGAAAAGGCCATTCCACCCTATCAAACGCCTTTTCTGCATCTAGGGATACAATAGATGCAGATTCCTTTGTAAAATTTAAATGGTCTAGACTATTTAGAACTCTTCGAATATTGTCTGAACCGTACCTGGATTTCACAAAACCAGTTTGGTCTGGATTAACAACATAAGGCAGAACATTTTCAATCCGTCGAGCTAAGGACTTGGCTATAATTTTATAATCTACATTAAGTAGACTAATTGGGTGATAAGATGAACAATTTGTTGGATCTTTGTCTTTTTTTAAAAGCAGGCTGATAATTGCCACTGACCAGGATTCAGGCAAAGAGTTAATCTCAAAAAGATTATTTATCACCAGCATTAAAATTGGGGAAAGTTCAGGCCAAAACTGCTTATAAAACTCTAATGGATACCCATCTGGGCCAGGAGCTTTACCGGATGGCATTTACTGAATAGCTTGTCAGATTTCATCTTCAGTAAAAGGGGCATTCAAAAGAGTCCTAGTGTCATCAGAAATGCTGGGAAGAGAAATCTCATTTAAATAATTAGTCAAATCTTTGTATGATCCATGATAATCGGTTGTATAAAGATTACTATAAAAGTCTGAAAAAGAGTTGTTAATGTCCTGAGGATCAAAAGTCATGTTACCTGCAGATGTCTTAATTGCTTTTTTAGTTCTTTCACTCTGTTCCTTTTTTAACTGATAGGCCAAGAGGCGACTGTGTTTATTACCAGACTCATAGTACCGCTGTTTAGTATAAAATAATAATTTCTTGATATGTTCTGTGTGGTCTAGGTTAAGTTTAGCTTTAGCATTATTTAATAATATCCAATTATCTTGATTTGGCAAGCATTTATGTTGTTTTTCCAGGCGAGTTCTTCTAATTCTTTCCTTTTTTGTATCTTTAGCTTTTTGCTTAGAGCAGCATTAGCAATGAGATGACCCCGCAACGTAGCCTTGGCTGCATCCCATTTTATTGCAGGTGAAACAGGGGAGTTCTGATTGTCTTGCCAATACTAAATTATTTTTTGTTTGATAAAAGAGCAAAAGCTAGTATTACTTAAAAAAGAGCTATTGAATTTCCAATAATTTGGTTTTTGAATAGGTATACTAATATCAATGACCAAATAAAACAGGCCATGATCAGACAGCACAATAGGGCCAATTTGACAAGAACTCACATTGTGTATACAGTCGGAAGGTATGAAAAAATAATCTAGTCTTGAATAAGATTTATGGGGGTGAGAATAAAAAGTATAATCTCTGTCTTTCGGGTGCAGCTCCATCCAAATATCCACCAATCCGATGTCTTTACAAGTGTTACGTATTATATGTGATGATTTGCAGCTCGTTGAAATCTGAGGTGAGGATTTATCCAGATTTCCATCAAGTATGCAATTGAAATCACCTCCTAAGAAGCCAATGTTTTTGCAGAGCTGATTGAACTTTAGAATCACCTGAGAAATAAAATTAGGGCAGTCCGCAATTGGGGCATATGTATTGCCTACAGTGACATGTTTTCCAAGAATTAGACCAGAAATAAACACAAATCTTCCTTCAGAATCATGTTCGACATGTTCAAGGATGAAAGGAATATTTTTATGAATAAGAATTGCGGTTCCCCTACTATTTGACGTGAATGAGGAAAAGTATATCTGGCCGACCCGATCTCTTTTTAGCTTCAAATGTTCCTTATCTGACAAGTGTGTTTCTAGTAATAATGCTATAGATACACCTTCTTTCTTGAGAAATGTTAGAATTTTCTTTCTTTTAATTACATGGCCTATGCCTTTCACTTTCCATGTTACTAATTTAAGAGAATTAAGCATATTAAAAATGTAAACAGAAAGTCATATGAATGATAGTATGCATTAAAAGAAATTACAATTGTACCAGTACAAGATACCAAATGCGAACAAGAGAGTACCACAAGTAGAACACAAAATAACCCCGTAAAACCCACCCCCGAAGACCCCATCTCCAACTGATGAGGCACAGATAATATCAAAAAGTCACAAAACCAAATAAGAAACTTTGAAAAAATTATCAATAGCATAACTGAGACCACCAAGTTATCCCAGGTGAAAAAAAAAGTGCACTAAAATACACTCATTTAAGTATACTTAGTACACTTTTCAGTAATGTACTAAAAGTGCTCTATTTTCGCACACTAATTTTGTACTTAATGTACTAAAAGATAGTATTAAGTATATGTTAAGATAAACTTAATACCATCTAAGTGCACTCAACTATGCTATTTTGAGACACCCTGAAGTTGAACTAAAATGTGCTTTTAACATACTATATCTGTATTTTAAAAAATATATTTAGTTACAACTAGAAATACACTTGAACCCTACTTTTAAACATTTAAATATATTTATGACTAATTTAAGTATAATAGTATTATATTAAAAGAATATATAAATTGTAAAAAAAGGTGTGCTAAATACTGTATTAAAATTGCTCTATTTTGCCAAACTAATTTTGTATTTAATGTACTAAGAATTAGTATTAAGTACATTTTAAGATAAACTTAAGTACATCTAAGTGTACTCAACTGTGCTATTGAGACAAAATAAAGCTGATCTAAAATGTGATTTTTATAATGCATTTAATTATTATTTTTTTTCACCTGGGGCTGCTAAATGCTCCTACAGAAGATTCTGGGTAAATCTCTCGTCAGTCTTCAGCTCAGTTTCACTGATGATCCAGGATAAATTCTAAACCCAGGGCAGAGCGGCTCAGTGAATGTGGTCTGGACTGAGTGGATGATGCTCATTTTGTCTCTATAGATGCTGTAGAAGATCAGAGTTCCTGCACTGTGATCCACAAACACTCCTATTCTCATGCTGAACGCCTCCATTGGGAGATGAGTCTCTATGTGATTGTGCCAGAATGAGAAACTGAAGAAAGAGCAGAGTAAACTCCAGGACTGAGCATTAAATCCAAACACACCCTCAGCACCTCCTCCCTTCCTCCTGATGCTCTTATATGACACTGATATCCGCACATCACTATCCCCACTCCAGTCAATCTCCCAGTAACAGCGTCCACACACACTCTCTCTGCACAACACCTGAGGATGATGATCAAATCTGTCTGGATGATCAGGATACGGCTGATTCCCTCTCACCCACTTCACCTCTCTGTTTTCCTCAGACAGAATGAGTTGAGTGTGTGCTGTGTTTGGATCCAGAGTGAGGAAACAGACATCTGAACACAAGAACACACACATTTATAACCACAGCTGTGTGTGTGTGTGTGTGTGTGTGTGTGCATGCGAGATAGTTTGTGTGTGTGAGAGAAAGAAAGAGAGAGTGTGTGCGTGCGTGTGTATGTGCATGTGTGTGAGAGAGTGTGTGTGTGAGAGAGTGTGTGTTTGTGTGTGTGCGTGTTTGCATGTGTGAGAGTGTGTGTGTGTGAGAGAGATAGAGTGTGTGTTAGTGTGTGTGGTGCGTGTTTATGTGTGTGTGAGAGAGAGAGAGTGTGTTTGTGTGTGTAAGAGAGAGTGTGTGTGTGTGTGTGTAAGTGCGTGTGTGTGAGAGAGAGTGAGAGTGTGTGTTTATATGTGTGTGTGCGTGTTTGTGTGTGTGAGTGTGCGTGTGTTTGCGTCTGTCTGTGCGTGTGTGTGTGAGAGTGTTTGTGCATGTGTGTGTGTGTGTGTGTGTGTGTGTGTGTGCGTGCGTGTAGTCCTACATTTGCGCGGTCCTGCTTTAATCCTCGTGTGTCCTCCATGATCCAGACTGTAAACACACACAGATGGAGAGAATGAGCTGTTTAGTTTCCCCCTCAGCTAATAAGCTAAAGCTAGCACTGAGCTGCTCAGCTACACGCTCCAAACTCTTGAGCTAAAACACACAACACTTGTTGGTTGAGCCGGGATGCACAATGAATGTAACACAGTGCGTTCTTTTCCTCTGCTGTTGGTGAAGCGAGCGCAGATACTGCTCATGTTGATGGAGACACCCTGCTGCAACATTCATTTATTACAGTGATCACACTTAGCTTTGCCATCGTTCTTCAGCACATGCAGCCTTTGAGCACATGTTGCAGTTCATCTCTAAACTATGTTCAGATTATTAAAGCTGCTCGCCAGCGCCCAACTTCCTGACAGATTAGCAAGTGAAAAATACACATGTGTGCACAGAGAAGAGGAATCCAGATGTTGATTTTAGAACAAGAGTCTGAACATTAATCCAAGTGTCTGATTCCAGAATCCGAATCCATCTTCAATCCCCAACCCTATTCCTGACCTGATATTGTAGGATTCTTCAGCACAAATGGAGGAAGAAGTTTCTCTGCTCAGCTCAAATGCTGAAACTGTACAGTGTGTCCCGCTTAATGTCACTGTAACTGAGCCAATACACTCCAACAATTACAGAGGAGATTCATTTCACACTCAATGATTTGCTCTTCATGACTGGAATACTCTACAAGCTGTATCTTCTGTCTGTCCTTACCCCATAACCCTCACAGAAAACTGAAGCTGATCACAAAAGAGCTTTCTAGTGTCTTTTTAAAGCCATTCAGTGTAAAAGCACAAGGCCAGTGCTGCTCCACATACTTGAGTTTGTCCAGTGTGTAGTTTGGATCCTCCAGTTGTTCAGAGAGCAGCTTGACTCCTGAATCTCCTGGATGATTGTAGCTCAGATCCAGCTCTCTCAGGTGTGAGGGGTTTGAAGTCAGAGCTGAAGACAGAAAACCACAGCCTTCCTCTGTCACCATACAGCCAGACAATCTACAAACACAGCAATAGTCCACATCACACAGTTGGACAATCACACATCTCTTTGTGTTGTGAAGATGCTGACTGCTGTTTCTGCTCATGTCAACAGCAGTGATGAACACACACATCCTGATTAGCTCTCCTTATTGATCGAGCCCTCGCATCAGCAAACACACACACTCACACACTCAACAAGGACTCGACATCATCTGTAGAAGTGTACAGAGCAAAGACATTGTTCATAATACACCACATCAAGCTGTAAAGTCTGTTGTGAGGAGGAAGAAGTCACACTTGATCATCTTAAAGTCATGTATTAAGTGCTGCTATTCAATGATCCTCCACATAGTTGGATTGTTTTTGACATGTGAGGGACATTCTGATGTCATGCGAGGGAATACTGATTCAGGATTATTTGTAATGATCAATAATGATGAGTAAAGTAACACTGTAGGATCATATTAGGGTATTAAACGTTCCTATTCTTAAACACATTACTTATTGAAGAATCCACTGAATAAATGCAGGATAATATACCAACAGATCATTTTCAGCAGATCACAGACATCTGTGGACATTTATAAAGTAAAGTGAAGTTACATCTGACATTTCACTTTCACATTCACACTTCAGCAGAGAATGAAGAGAATAGCAAACCTGTAAACCCAGCTGAGCATCATCTAGTGTCAGAGATCATACACACCTTTTACAGTGTTGATGTGTGCTGAAATCATCAATGACAATGAGTGATCGTCCTCTTTACACTCTTTTGACCTGTTAATTGTGCAATAGTTTGTGCACATCAATAATGTTTCATCTTAATGTGGTTTAATAGTTGATTTTAAAACATTATAAGTGTGATTTGTAGATGATCGACACCTAGATGCAGGATTACAGCTGGTTGTATGACTGTAAGGCATTTACTCAAATGTTGCAGAGGTCTGAAATGTGTAATCAGGTGTAGGGCTGGGTGATGTCAGACAATATTTATTAATAATCTCCTTTAAAGATATGCATGATGCAGATAATCTCGTCTCTCCCCTCACATCTGTCATGAGACATGCCCCCCCCCCCCCCCCCCCCCCACACACACACACACACAATCTCTGAAGAGGAATAACTGGAGAAGAAAGAAGCGCTGGTGAACTCCTCTGAATGACCAAAACACCCAGGCGGGACAGAGCAACAGATAGATGCTGAGCTGCTTATCTTGGAGGATGGCCAGCACAAACTCAATGCAGCTTCAAACTCTCGTCCAGCCCTACATCACAGCATCATCAAGACGCATTTATTAACTAGTAAAACTGTGGACAAGCAAATATGATACAGCCTATAGATACTGTCTAGCCAGTGCTCAAACTAATATGTGTGTAATGTGTTGAGGCCGCAGCTCATGATTGGCCATCCGCTTTCTCTTTCACTCACACATTCCTCTCCAAAGTGTGTGAGGGGGTCTACACCTCAGAATATACTCATGAGCAAAAGGCCTGATCTCTCCTTCAGGTTTGTTTGCTTTATTTGTGTGTTAAAGTCATTCTAGATGTCTGTCAGCCTGTTCCTGTGGGTGAGATGGAGCGACTGACACATGAAATAAAGCTTTAGCATATGCATTCATCTACAATCTAAAGCGAAGTGTCGTGTTATTACTAGACCATTTACACTTACAGACTGGGCCGACATTTACTTAATCACTTCACTAGATTATCTTTTCTCAATAATGTGGATTATCTAATCTAATCTAACCTGATCTAATCAAATCCACATCGCCCAGCCCTAATCAGGTGTCCAGACTTTAAAGATGCTCCCTAAATTTGCAGATATAAGACATACATTATATTATATCACTTTCACTGCTTTCTAACCTGTGCGAGTGCTAACTTTAACTCTTATGTTTAGGATGGAACATGCTAGCAGTTAACGTTAACTAGCTCTCAGCTAAACATCACTTCTATTAGTTTAGCTTTAGCAGAGAGGAGTCTTAAGAAACAGAGAGGTGACCCACATGTGTCTGAGTGACAGTGACTGATGCGCACTTGAACAGGGCACTCATATGGAGGAGGAGCAATAAGATGCAGCCGCAGACAAGCGTATCACACGAGAGTGTCAGTGCCCATTCTAGACTCACAGTGGATTTAACAGTGATTTTACAAACACACTCAACCAATGGCTATTGCTGGACCAAGTTCATGTCTGAATATTAGCGAGTCCTAGACTATAGTAAGAAACGTCTTGAGTCTGGACTCGAGTACTACAGCCCTGACAGTCACAAACTTCAGCTTGTAGATCAAACTTTACTGTATGAAGAGCAACAGAACATGACCTGATCTTCATTTGTATATTATGTTGTGGACGATGATGTAAATAAACTAAAACAAACACAAATCCACTCTCTTAATGTCTCTTTCACCAGCCTGACAGTCACATTCACACTGATAGAGCATTAGGGGACTTTTATTCTGTCAGCTGAGAAACACCTGATCAATAATCATGAGCGCTGACTCTCCTTCACACACAGCCTTTCTGACAGAAGATCTTCAGTCAATATATTGCTTCATGTGAATGAGTAATCAGGGTTATTTTCAGATGCATGTGTAGTAAATACATCAGTTCACCAGGGGCCTGTTTCAGAAAGGAGGTTAAGTGAAAACTCAGAGTATTTTAACCCTGAAATGAGAGAAACTCTGGGTTTTCTGTTTCAAAATGGCAGGTTTGTTAAACTCGAGAAATCAGGGTAAGTCAAGCCTGTTTCTGAAAGAGAGTTAACTTTAACTCAGAGTCAGTTACTGTGGTAACTTACTCTGTGAATCTAACCTGGTCAGAAGCAGGTTTTATTCTCTAAACTCAGAGTTTCTGTCTGTCTCCTCCCCTTTTTTTAAAGATGAAGCGGTATTTCTCGCCTTAGCCTTACGTTTCCACCCACCTATTTTAATGCTCATTTTGGATAAGTGCATAAAAACGATTGATAGAAACGTCATGATGCACATAACTTTTTAAAATATGCATAAAAAACGCGCATAACTGAGTAGGATAAACTTTTATTCGATAGAAAATGTGCGCATAAACTACGATGGAAACACTTTTACTGAACAAATTACAGTATGTACATTAAAAAAAAGATCATGATCATATGATAATGAAAATGTGTGTGAATGGACAAACAGCAGGCTGAGCACACTGTAACATGTCTTAAATATTGTTTTAGTCATTCTAAAATGCCTGAACTGTTTCAGTATTAGTGTATATTATTAATTACCTCCGAACGTCTGGTGCGTGTCAAGAGTCTCCGCGCCTCATGGCTTCAGACGCCCCCACGTGTTCATTGTGTTTCAGCATTGTCTTCTGACATCGAGGTGCAAGTACATTAATTAGGCTAAATAAAGAATTAATTGACGCAGCTTCTTCTACCACAGTAAATTCTGTTTTTACTGTTGATATTTGGTGCCAGTTTAATCAGGAAGTGACATTTTTTTTCTCTTTGACTCATTGGATGGAATTTTATTCGCATCTTTTATGCAATATTCCAGTTTTGCACATAAATTTATGTAATATATTTGGATGGAAAATAGCTATTGCCTACATTTTAGTCACACACAGAAGAACTGTACTAGAATGGCTTATGCTTTTTTAATAAATAATTAAATTGAATTCACCTTCGACATGCACTGTAACTAGATTAATGGGATTATTATTCTTTCTAAAAATTATTTTTAGTACTGCTTACCTTCTAAATGTTATATTAACCTCTATCACTTGATCAATAAAAAAGGCAGACACACAAGTGCACTGTTAAATCATTTAAAACTAATAAATGTGTAAAAGAAAGTTTAGAAAAAAATATATAAACGTCACAAATTACATTACTTATTTAATTATACTTAAATATTTAAATACTTAAAAAGTTAAATTAGGCATTATCTTGAGCAGCTGTTTTCCCACGCTAACTGGTTGATGGCTGCTTCTTTTCAAATATATACACTCATATTTGCTATAACTTTGCATGAGAACATCAAGT